CGGAAAGATTTGAGATTTGAACCGGGAAAACCGGGAATTTCAAAATGAAAATTCACTGACCTGGAAGTAATGTTCATAAGCCTTAAAGTAAAACATTCAGCCTGACTTTGGTAAAAACATGCGTGATAATCGGAACTTATAAAAAACAAATTTCGATAGAAATTTTATTTATGGTTTAAAATTTGAATTACCATGCAATTCCTTTCAGACTTCCCATTGTATTAATTCAAGAATTACTTTGCGTGATAAATCCAAAATTGGCGGCTACCTTCCAGTCATTACAAATTTATGCGCTGCTAAATTGTCGGTGGCTTAATATTACAGATTGACCCATACTACTTCAAGACTTCAAGCCATATGAACTTGTCAGTTAGCATACTTTTGCTTTGGAGTGATTCCAGTGGTGAAAAGTGAGCACCTAGAACCATCACAGTGACAGTAGAAGAAATATGCTTGTTTAGTTTGTGCAGGAAATTTTTCCTAAGCATTTGAAGTGACGGCTATCTCACGCCTGTGCATTAAACCCGCCACCAAACTCTATAGGGCCACCCACAACGACAAATGACCCATGGGTTTACTGTAAAATCCATTGTGGGTAGCCCTTAATACATTATAAACGGTGCAATATTATGGCATTATTGTCATCTAATCTAATCTTATCCAACACCAATACAGCCAGTTCTTGAAACTATCATGGAAACTGACCTCCATAATTTTTCTTATCTATTTGGTTTATGTTTCACATCGAGGATGCGTCACTCATACCAAAATGGCCAGGCATGTGAATCATCTTGCCTCTTAAATGCCGCACAGTAGGCATTTAAGGTGTTTCCTTGTGGAGTCCATTTTTCCATCACACCTCACAATTTCATGAGCACACAACTCAAGATCTACGAGGTTTATGCATCTGTAAATTTCAGACATTGCTTGCTTCTCCGCAGCAAACAACAACTAGTAGTTTCAGCTACGTGCATTCACAGAAAGCTTAATATTTTCACATGTGAAATTGCTAAGTGTAACACGAAAAAGGACGCTACGGGGAATCACCTTTAAGGGGCAAGATGATTCAGAAAACATCGGGCATGTTTCAATTGAATATTTAAACATGATGCCTCAGAATACAACGAATGGTTGAAACGTGGACATCTCGTATCGTACATTCAGTTTTTAGTAAATTTTGATTGACCAGTCGTTAGGAGTATCTAGTTTAGAAAGGTTATGTGATGCCCCATTTTTCTCTAATGGTTGAGGCATGAGCACTAGCATTCATGGTTTATGGTTATTCCATAAGCCATGTTAGCACCATTCTCGGTTTTTTTACTACCGCGCGATCACACTGCTGAGCGCCGCCTACAAGGTACTCTCCCAAATTCTATGCCACCGCCTGTCACCATTTGCAAGAGAGTTCGTGGGGCAATACCAGGTGGGATTCATGGGTACCTGCGCTACCATGGACCAAATCTTCGCGATTCGGCAGGTTCTGCAGAAATGCCGCGAATACAACGTGCCCACACACCATTTGTTCATCGATTTAAAATCCGCATACGACACAATCGATCGAGATCAGCTATGGCAGATTATGCACGAGTACGGATTTCCGGATAAACTGACGCGATTGGTCAAGGCGACGATGGATCGAGTGATGTGCGTTGTTCGAGTATCGGGGACACTCTCGAGTCCTTTTGAATCTCGAAGGAGGTTACGGCAAGGTGATGGACTTTCGTGTCTGCTATTCAACATCGCGTTAGAAGGTGTGATCAGAAGAGCTGGGATAGGAAGTCCATCCATCCAGCTTCTTGGCTTCGCCGATGATATTGACATCATGGCACGGAACTTTGAAACGATGGCAGAAACGTACATCAGACTGAAGGCTGAAGCTAGGCGGATTGGACTTGCCATCAACGCATCAAAGACAAAATACATGAAAGGAAGCGGTTCTAGGGAAGACAATGTTAGCCTTCCACCCCGAGTTCAGATTGACGGTGACGAAATCGAGGTGGTCGATGAGCTCGTGTATTTGGGCTCGCTGGTGACCGCCGAAAATGATACCAGCAGGGAAATTCAAAGACGCATTATGGCAGGGAATGGTGCCTACTTTGGACTCCGGAGGACGCTCCGGTCGAATAAAATTCGCCGCCGCACGAAGTTGGCTGTCTTCAAGACGCTGATTAGACCGGTGGTCCTCTACGGCCACAAGAACTGGACTATGCTCGTGGAGGACCAACGCGCCCTTGGTGTTTTCGAACGGAAGGTGTTGCATACCATCTACGGTGGAGTGCAGATGGATGACGGAACGTGGAGGAGGCGAATGAATCACGAATTGCACCAGCTGCTGGGAGAACCATCCATCGTCCACATTGCAAAAATTGGGCGACTACGGTGGGCTGGGCACGAACAAGGAGAAGAGGCGCGCAGCGGGCAAGGTGGATCGACCAAGTAGAAGGCGACCTGCGGACCCTTCGCAGACTACGAGGCTGGCGAGATCGAGTAGAGTGGAGACGACTTCTTCGGACATCAAAGGACAACAAGGCCTTAGCCTGATTGGTAAGGTAAGTCGCTTTCTGAAAAGAAAAAAAGGGAACGTAAAAGAAGAGGAAAGGGAGAAGGGAAAAGGTTTAAAAATATTCTATGAACAAAACTGAGAACAATATTTGTAATTTGACATATAGGGGAAATGGATGTAATGTCGGCCTAAATGTCCCTATTTTGGGCCCATACATAAATTCAGCAACCGACTTAATTTTCAATAGCGACCAAATATATCCATTAGTACCGTCCCAATGACGCGTTCATCTAGATAAAATTGATAAATAGCAGATTCTTAGCGATAGGCCCAATCTTAGATCCATAGGCCAACAGTAGAGCCATTTCCCCTATATAAGAACTCAGAACGGTCTCACCAATCATCATTCACTCCTTTGCTACCGCAATTCTCTAGACCACCACCCTTTCTCATGAGTGCCTTTCCCCATCTTCTTCATGAAGACATTGTTTCCAACTCTAGTTTTCATTTATCCTTTTCGATCAACAACTTTATTAGCCGGCGCCGGTGGTGTAGTGGTAAGCGTGACTGCTTTCTAACACCCCGATGGGTCTGGGTTCAATCCCAGCCGAGGTCGGTGGGATTTTTCTGAGGCCTAAAAATCTCTGGTCACGTCTTCCTTCGGAAGGGAAGTAAAGCCGTTGGTCCCGGGCCATGTGTGTTGAATGGGTGCGATATCCTACGCAGGGTGTGGAAGCTGCCTTTCTGCACATTCGATTGCCATCAATGGATGGCAATCGATGTCCGTCGGTGATTGGCACTAGATTGCGGAACAGAGACCGACGTTAAATAAAGGAAAGAAAAAGAAAGAACAACTTTATTATTTGCTGCTCTTTATCTTCTTCCTTCTTCAAAGTGCTATGGATAAATCGATGGAGGTTTTCATGTAGTCGGCAAAACTTATGTTTTTTATCCTAATATTATGGCACTCTTGTAAATTCTTTTAAAATTTTCCTCCATATTCCTCGTCAGAATTCTATGGAATATTATTTAAATTGTCTGAGATCTGAAAAAAAAATTTCCAGATCCGTGAAAATTTTCCAGGGCTGATTATATTTTTTTTCAAATCTAGGATCTTGATTGTTTTTTTCAAAATATCTCATTTTGAGTATTTTTTTTCTATCCCATATTGTTGAAAACATTTACGAATCATTTTTTTTTCTAAATCTAGGATTTAGTTGAATTATACTATCTGCTTTAATAAACGCTTCCAATAGTTAAGTTACACTAAAGATAGTATTCCAACAAATCACTTCGAAAATCTTGCTGAATATTAACAACCGGGAAATTTTTGAAATTTAATCCAGTAAAAACCGGGAATTTCAAAATGAAAACCCACCCTGTCAACGCCAACCTAATATTTCAACCTGGCTGCGGACGGAACACTTCCTAGCCACAAAACCAATCGACCGAAACCTCTTGCTCCTTTAGTAGCATAAATAACTAATACTTATGTAGTTACAGTACCTCGCCAACTCACAATTTTCCACTCAACAATTTCAATATCCCTTTTGTGTGAGCGCGCTCTCGAGTATAAGAGACGCCCGTGCCCTTTCGTTCGAGCAAGCTATCATTTTCCCAGAATCAATTCATGCAAATTTCTTGTGAGAACACAAAGGCGGCTTGCAACAACACAACAACATCCAGTCATTTTCCATCACCCCCGCTATCCAATCCATGCTACAATATATCACACAGGTGTCAAGCATATGCCTAAAGTGTAAATGATTTTACCCCCATTCATGCGCCCAGCCAGCAGAGCTGACTCCCCGTAACACTCGACAATTTCCGCAGCTCTCGTCACGGCTTGGCAAAGCTGGTGCGGGAAAGCCCGGAACTCTTGTGCATACATTTCCGTCAAGGATTCACCACTTCCTTGGATCGTCGAGGAGAACGTCGTTCGTGTTCGTTCGTTCCATGTCCATGGGGTTCGACGTGCAATTTACCCTGAATGGAAGACATTCTCCCTCCAGTTCTAAAGCTTTTGTCTCCCACCATGCGTCGTTGTTGGTGTTGGGAGACAATTCATGGAACGATGAAAGTTTTCAAGAAGCCAAGACGGTGGAAGTAGGTCGGTATGTTTTCGGGTTTGCCTTCACTGGGAACATAAATGTCTACTCTGTAGTAGAGCAAACTTTCGCGTACTTTCGAAGAAGCTTTGTCTACTTTAGAGATACGCCAATGACAGTTTTTTTACTAGTTTAAATTTGTTTACCCGGTTTTTTAAGCAAGTTGAATAATTTTTAAAAATATTCAAAGATTCAAGGTGTAAAATCATACATCAACTAGAATAAATGTTCCATGGAATTGCAGTTTTAGGCATACTAAATTAATTAATACATGAATTTGTCACACGGCAGCACCGTTGAGTAACATCTATATGATCTCAGTAGCCTGTGCCCAGAAAAAAACGACTCCCATCACATCAAAGTTTAAATTTTACTCCAACCAAAAAAACCTACTAGCAAATTCTAAATTTATCAATGGGGTGTTTCGGTGGTACCAAATCCAAGAAACCAAAACCATCCTCTCAGCGTAAAAAGTGCCAACCTAAGCCGAAAACATGGTCTCAAGATGAGTGGAAAATCCATGGTCGCTATCTTTCCAGGTTGTCACAACCGAAAAAGAACTACGCACATGAGAAATTTGATAAAATTCCGGTAAGAAATTGTACTTCAAGCATATATTATAGAACATTGTCTAACCGTCGCTGACCACAGCAACAGCGAAGGGTCCCGCTTAGCGTTCTAAAACCCCGCATGACCACCCTGGCTCGTCCGAAAGCCATCTCTTCCTTCAAGCACGACTGCCCACTGGATCCCAACAAATGCCACTGCCACGTCTCCGACCCGATCCGCAAAGTACCAGTCCAAGCCAGAAACTACGTCCCCACCAAGCGAATTACGGTGCTGAGTCAACCGAAACTGGACTACCAGGAAGTGATCCGCTGCTTCCCCAAGCAACGGGTCATGTGCATCAACACACGGGTCCTGAGCTATCGAATCAAGAAACTTGCCACGCCAAAGTACCAACACCTATGCACTCCGGAAGGCGCTAACCCGTACGGCGTGAAACCGGAAGCCCTGGTAGCGACGGCCACCGCCAGAACGCTACAACTTGCTCAACCGAAAAGCTTCTCCAGGGCAAACTGAATGGAGGATTACACGCAAACATGCCCGGCTTTTGTCTCTAAATAAATCAAAAATTCAACGACACCTTTTCAAGACCTTTTTCAACTTCCCAGAACTATCGTCCTGCTTAGTAGAATGATTTTCATTCAAAAGTTCTGCTCCTAAGCTGAACTCGTTGCACGTAGCATCCGAGCACACTTTTAATCATAGTTTGAAGCTGAAGCAAATGATGTAATGAAACTTAATTCCACTGAAAAACATTCCACAATCTGGAAAGTCTACCATCGTTGAACGCTGTGCAATGTGGAAGTCAACGCAGGGCAAAGTAGCAAAACGGAAGCGGGAGCAGTACCTACCGGTAAAACCTTCTCCACAACACGCGCAATTTTCCAAAAACACCCTCAACTCTACCGGAGAGAGTACATAGTCCCTGTTCTTATCCTCTTTTAAAACATCCCTCGCAGTCAGGTGAAGAGCGCTTGATTGCAATTAGCACCGGCACTAACCAAGCTTCGTCGGTCGGTGGGAGCACATTCTAGCCGCAGAAAACAAGGAATTTACATCAAATTTACCTCACCACTCTAGGCGATCGTTTCCCGTTCGTTCGTTACGGGTGGATAATTCGCAGATAGAAGCGGACACGTGGCAAGCAAGACACTCCCGCCTTTTAGAATAGCACTTGAGTCCGCGTCCGTCGCCCGTTCGGTCTCTACGTGCGGTTGTGAGTGGATACTTCTTAGATAGGTACAGACTCGAATTTGTAGCCACCTTTTCTTCTGCCAAGCATGAGAGCTCATCGAGGATGGGGTGGTTCAGTGCTGTTAAATTTGTGTGGTTGGAAATGTTTTGTATTTTTTTTTTCATGGGAAACCCATTATAATTTATCGAACTGAATACCGCTCTACCTATCAATAGCACAAAACGATAAAATGTATGCTTCGTGCTTCCCTTGATATGCAATAGGACAGTCTGTTTGGTTGTCTTTTCCAATCATGCTCAGAATACGGTTGTTGAGTTTATTCAGCTTATGGAATATATGTATTTACTACTATTTTCATTGCAAATCTAAATTTTATTCAAAACGCAAATGGATCCGACATGTAATTAGTGAAATTGAACCAACCGTTAAGTTCCTGGAGGCTGGGACGTTTGGCCAAATGGTTTTTCAATATCAAGCAGAACAAGATAGGCAACGCGGTAAGACACAACGTGTGAATCGTCGCTCAAGGCTTCACCCAGAAGTAAAGGGCGAACACGAAATTATTGCGACACCGAAAATGTCATGCCAATTTTCTTATAATGTTTAGAATCAAACCAAAATTTTAGGGTAGTTTTATACATATATTTACTTCAAAAATCAAAAGAAAAGTTAATCGATGGAGCCTTGAGTGTAAAATTGAACGCATTTTCGCTTGATGCCCTCCATCAAAGTCTTTACAGTGTCATCCGGTACCAGTTTCTCAGTTTTTTTTCCATTTTCTTAACATGTCCTTCTCGTCTTTGACTGTCTTCTTGCTCTTCCGAAGTTCCCGCTTCATTATTGCCCAGTACTGCTCCACCGGGCGCAGCTCCGGACAGTTTGGCGGATTCATGTCCTTTGGAACAAAATGGACAGAATTGGCCTCATACCACTCCAGGACACTTTTAGAATAGTGGCATGATGCCAAATCTGGCCAAAATAGCGGAGCTTCGTCGTGCTGCTGCAAGAACGGCGCTTCTCGAGGCACTCAGATTTGTAGATCTCGCCATTTACTGTGCCCTTTGTCACGAAAGGCTCACTCCTCAGTCCGCAAGAGCAGATGGCCTGCCAAATGATATATTTGGAGGCGAACTTCGACATTTTCTTCTTCTTAAATTTGTCGTCCACATCGAACTTGCTCTTGCCGGTGAAAAACTCCAACCCCGGAATTTGCTTAAAATCGGCTTTTATATACGTTTCGTCGTCCATCACACAGCAGCCATATTTTGTCAGCATCTTCTCGTAGAGCTTCCGTGCCCGAGTTTTAGCCGTCGATTGTTGCCGCTCATCGCGGTTTGGGAAGTTCTGTACCTTGTATGTATGTAGTCCAGCTCTCTTCTTTGCATTCTGGACGTAGCTCTGCGACATGCCGATCTTTTTAGCCAAATCACGGCTTGAGACGTTGGGATTTGCTTTAATCATCCGCTTCATCTTTCCCTACGTCTTTTTGTTCTCCGGTCCCGGTTTTCTTCCAGCTCCTTTGCCGTGGTCCAACGTCAACCGCTCCTGGAACCGCTTCAACACTCTGGAGACGGTTGAATGGTGAATGTTCAACATTTTTCCCAACTGCCGGTGCGACAGGTCAGGAAATTCCAGGTGTTTGGAAAGAATTTGTTCTCTCAACTCGCGTTGGTTCACCTCCATTTTCGTTGAATCGAAAAACACAACTTCGAGTTTGACAGCATGTACACAATACACATCAATGAGAAAGTGTGCAAAATTTGGTTGATTTTTACCCAATGGTAAAAAAGTTATGCCCTGTTGAATGTGTCGCAATAATTTCGTGTTCGCCCTTTAGGTATGGGACGACCTACGATGGAGTCTTTTAACCGGTGGCCTTCGGAGCTCTGGTGCAAACGCAGGAGATCCATCGCAAAGCACATCCATGCCGATACAACATATGCCAACTAACAATTTCATGAAGAGCTTTGAGTGTGTGGCTTTGAGTGTGGATACCTGGTGATTTTTAGTACCTATTATAGGTTATAATAACTCGTAGATAAAAGATGGATTCTTCAGTGGTGTTGAGTACTTGACACTGATGATGTCTGCAAGTAGAAGACGAAATACGCGTATATGTCAAAAGATAAGCAATTATAACGGAATTAAAAGGAACCAACACACTCAAAGCTCTTCATAAAGGGATTCCGTTAAGAGGTTCGACAAATTTAAATGATTTAACAATTTCAGCTGCAGATAAGCTTATACAGGCAAAATTTGTCTTATGCAGCTAATTTTTCCCTGTATAAGCTGGTATGCAGCTAAAATGGTTTTGTGAAATTTGAATGGATTGCTCGAAGAAACTACAGACGACGGTATAGTAAACGCAGTCTAGCAAATAGAAATTCCGTGAAACAGCCAGCGTTGCCAGTATTCCAGATTTATCTGGATTTTCCAGATTTGCAGTCGTCTTTCCAGATGCACAGACAGACAACGTATATTTCCAGATTTTCCCAGATTTTTAAAACAAATTGCTTTAAAAATATCAATGCATTTGATTTACCCTCTAATCAAAAAATAAAAAGTTAAACTTGCTACTTTAATTATTAAAGGCCATCAACGTTGGAAATTATTGGTTTGCAGAATCATGAAAATTGAGTCATTTGCTAAAGATTATTGGCAGAAAAAAACCCTTCATTTTTTTTAAATATCGGTCTTGGATTCTTTTTATTTGGTATTTTTTGTTTTGATTTTGGCTATAATTTATTTTTTGGAAACCTGAATTAGAAAATTAAAATTTCAATATGGAGGGATTTTCATAATTTTGCAATTTAGAGAAATCGAAAACTGTTCAAGGATTGAAAACAATAAATTGAGATTTGGAAAATTAGCAAGGTTTTTGAATCTAGACAACTACCAGGACTTTGAAGTATGTTCTTGAGATTTTTGAGGATTTAATTAAAGAATTTAAGAGGCATTTGATAATTCTTAGCACTTTTTGAAGTATCTGTGAATATTGAGTTAGCAGTCTGAATTACCCTAGAGATTCATAATGTTAAGTATAGTGTGAAGTGAATTCCTTGTGAAATCATAGGCGGATTTCAAGTTTATTCTGAGTAGAGTTCCATAACTCTGATGACAATTGCTTGCCGATTTTGTGAAGAAATTAAATATAAGTGTGTGAGTACCACGATGTGAGGCTTTGGTTTTCACTTCAACCAGGTGAATTTTTCATTAAATCAAATTTGCCTACTGGTCTACTAAGTGTTGTGTGTTGTTATGTTGTCAAGAATAAAAGTGTAAGTCTGATCAACCTCAGGGTAATATCATAATTATTTGGAACTAATAAAATCTTTCATACGTATTCTGGTACTGCATCAAATACTAAGGGCTACATCGACTATTATAAAAAAATCCATCTCATCAAAGTTGCTTGATTCTTTGCTTCTCATACTTTTCAAAAAAGTTACAGTTTAAACATATTTTCTGCAGTATTTTACCCAAAATTTAACTCAAATTTGAAATTATGTGCAATGGATATTTAAATTTTTTGGGTACATTGTGCCAATAATTTTCCCAAATTTTTGATGCTTACAAGTTATTTGCTTTATACAATTTATTTAGACATGTAATTCATAAACATTCTGGTATTTTCAATAAATTCCAGATGATTATACTGACCGATTTTTACGGGAGATTGGCACATCAATTTGATTTCAATAGCATTATGTTAAAAACAGGACTTTTTAAAGCATTCCAGATTTTTTTCCAGATTTGATATTTTAACTGGTCCTTATTTTTGCTGAAAATGGCTTGGCAACGCTGCTAGCAGCATTGATATTTTTACATTCATTACCTGCAACTGGCAAGTGTTCACACATAAAATGACTCCTTTTTTGCTGAATTTTATTCCTGTGGAATTATTATGCTTTTTAACACTCCGAATACGATGCCTCCGGTAAAATGTGTATCGAAAAGTTTGCAATGTTGAACTATCGATAAATTGCTGAGCAATGATTTTTCAAATGTCAATTTTCCGTTACACTTTTTACTAGAGACATCGTGTTCGCAGTGTTAATCATAAATCAAGCTAAAAACGATTGTTCATTAGCTTAAAATAACGTCTTATTCCTAAGATTGATTTTAAGTTATTTCCTACAAGCTCAGTTATCATTTTTAAAATAAGAGTAAAATGATGAATTTTGAGATCGATATGAACAACAATTTGGTTTTCCGATAGTAATTTCCAGACCCAATATGGAACCGTTTGAGCAGCTTGGAGCGAAAATTTCAAATTTTGCATCAGTCTAATGATGCATGATGACAGTGTTCTACCACCCATTGTAGCACGGAAACTAAGT